ACATTAAAAATCCAGGGTGCAAGAAATGGAACTCTGTTAGAACAGGCAATAAAAGACATCAAAAGAAAATTGTGTATGTTTCTTGAACTATGTAGGTCCTGAGCAGTCAGGGTGCAAATGCCTTATCTCCTGCTCTGAAGGGTAGAACTCGAATCAATGGATTCGAGGTACAAGAAAGGAGATTCCAACTAAACATATGGAAAAACTTTCTGACGGTAAGAGCTATTTGACAGTAGAACCGTCTCCCAGTGAGGTTGAGGACTCTCCTTCCTCAACCTCTAAACAGAGGTTGGATGGCCATCTGTCTTGGATGCTTTAGCTGAGATCCCTGCATTGCAGGGGTTGGACTAGATGACCCTTGGGTCCCTTCCAACTCTAGGATTCTATGCTTCTATGATCTTCTGCACCACTGGCACTCTGCAAGTCTGGCTGACTGAGCTCTGTTCTTCAAGGTCAGCATCTAGGTTGTAGTGCAGTCTTCTCAACCCTGGGTCCCCATGTGTTGTTGGCCTACAACTCCCATCATCCCTAGCGACCAGGACCAGTGGTCAGGGATGATGGGAGTTGTAGCCCAACAACATATGGGGACCTGAGGCTGAGAAAGGCCCTTGTAGTGCTAACTTACAGAGACTAAAACTTTGCCATGTACTTACAAACCGGACCCTTGTATTTGCACAAAATTATTTCATTGTACCAGTTCTGTGCTCACTGCATCCTGTGGCCTTGTTGAATGTAAACAGGCAAGAGACCCGTTCAGGTAGAAGCATCCAGGCATAAACCGCAGAACGTAAACACACACTGAGATGCGCATCTTTCTGTTTTCAAAACCACTGTCTGGATATGTCCTGAAAAGCACAGCTTACTCCACAAAGGAAATATTTTGGAAGTATACTTCCTTTTCCCTTTCTCTTGAGATGCCCTTCCTTCTAAGCAATCAAAAGCTTGTAATGAATAAGTTCTCTGATCTTCTAACTCTTGTTTCGCAACTGAGAGTCAAACTGTTAACTTGGATTTAACATCGTCGTATAAATAACAAGCTGACTGAATGGAAGAATCCAAAGAGCCAGATTAAATGTCCTTGATATAAAAAATAAATTGCCGACAAGGAACCCTGTAAAATGTTGCTAAAGACTGTTGCCAGCAATGTCATCGTAAATCAGACAGGTTCTTAGAAACAGCTCCGTAGCTAACCTAGGTGATGATACAAAAAAACAGCCTATTGTTACCGAAAGAGGATTGTATGACACCACTTGACATTCCACCATACCTCTTACCTGGCCTACAATCAAGATTCTAATATTGTTCTCTCCCTCCCCCATTCTTTCCTTTGCTTGAGGAAGACTAAAACCACTTCATTTTACCGGGATGATGTACACAAGGCACAAGACATTAGCCATGCTGAAGGCTAGCATTTCTGATATTTATATGAAACAACGGTGTCAAGAAACAGGGAAGGAAAGGCAGTAAGGGAGAGCTGGATTTTCCTTTCTCCAGAGAAGATTCCACTGCAAGCTGCAGCCTCTAGTAGTTGTTATGCAAAAGCAGGACAGACATAAGAGCAGACTCTAATACAGCTCCCTTCTGTGAGGCAGGGCTAGCCACCTATCACTCCTTCCTCCAAATAAATCCATGGGATCTGAATCAGAGATGAAACAAAGGGCAAGTATCTTTTGACATGTCACCTCCTTCACATGGAGGTGGAAGCATCAGTTGCAACACCTCAGTATAGTTCAATCACTTCCCCATGGACCCTACTTTTTTCACCACACCTATATTACAAAATAAAGATGAGAAAATGTTACATTCACAGTCTCCTCTAATGATCCCTATGCGGGGGGGGGGGGATCTTGGTTTTTTCCCCTGGGTTAAAAACTGTTGAGGTTTCAGAAAACTTAGAAAAACAAAATTGATTTAATTGTTGAAAGAGGTTCGCCCCTCCTTTTAAACTTCCTCCCTGCAGACTCAGTGTACCAAGCCTGGTTACTTCCTGAATGAATACAGGCTGCTTTTTATATATGTAACCTAAAACGCTTTGGCATAGTTACAGAACTTAAGAGAAAAAAGGGGCTAGAAGCTACTACTTCCCTAAGCATTGCCGCAGCACTTTAATTTCTAAAGGAAAAAAAATCTTTCCTCCCTCTGACACCCCCCCCCACACACACCACACATCACACTATGGAAAGACTAGCTGACTGTTTTCCTAGCCCTTCCCAGTTTTCTTTGAAGACTGTGTAAGGCCCATAATGAATCCGTTTCTTCAGCTTGCCCTGCTTGCTTTAAACTCAAATAGTAATTGAACTTAGAAGGAGACCACTGTGGATGAGGTGGAACCTGTTTCTTTCATTCCAAAGCAGCCTTCCTTCCTGATCATAGCTCCTGTCATTTCTCCTAATAAATCCGAATCATTGTTGCTGTGCTCACAGGTATCTAACAGGCCACAGTCACAATGAGCAGGGAATAGGATGCAGGATTACATGGGCCCTTGGTCTGACCCAGAAAGGGCCTTTATGTTCTCGATTCCTGACTTAACAGAGCAGTATTACTTCAGGCTCTAGATGCAATTTCATTGCTCTACTAATTCCACTTACGAGATCTGTTTCCCCAATATTTTGTTGGTAGGGGAGCCAGGTAGGGGGATAATCACTGGCAGACTCAACTCTCTTGTGATTTTCATGGACCTGAGATGTGATCAGTTTTTGCTTGCTCTGTTCTTCATGCCTTCCTAAAAGAGACTTCTACATGTGCATTAATAGGCACTAGTGGAATAGGGCTGTTGCCTTGCTTATGGGCTTCCTAGAGGCTTCTGTTGGCCATTATTGGGAAACAAGATTATAAGACTAGATGGACCTGAGATCTGATTCAAAGCAGCAGGCCTCTTCTGACATACAAATGTAAACAGAAGTTGTGTGAAATAGCAGTATGGGAACATTGAGCTCAGGTGATGCTATACCAATCAACTCTTTGAAGATACTTCATTAGGATGATTTAGCCAAGTTGTGATTTGCTTTCGTATCATTTTAAAACAGACTAGATGCCAATACCACATTTAAAATGTAATTTTATCCTTTTTTATATGAGACATGAGAGCCATAGAACCATTTTTTAAAACAAAAATATATCTTCATGTACTAATTTATCATGACTACAAGGAATTATTACAGTAAAATAAAACCATTTATATTTTTCTTCTATAGACATATCATTCCCCCACTCTATCTAGGCATTCATTTATTCTCATTTTAACTTCACCTTAGATGTAAGAAGACTGCACACAAGAGTTGTGTGGGCTTAGCTTCAAATCCTGCTTTCGTCATCAGTTTATTTTTTAAAATGCTAGACAAAACAGGATTTGAATTATTTAAAAGAATACTGAATCACTTCAAGTTTGTAGGCCTCTCTGCCTGTTTTATTACCTACAGGAACACAGACATAAACAAATAGTTCCCAGAAAAGTAGTGTACTTTAACAGCAAAACAAAAACACCATTGTTTATTTGCCGACAGCTTACTAATATCTCCCACTTTTAACTTTTGTTTTCAGGACGTGTTCTACAAAACTGTGAAAACACATTCTAAATATATGTAGGGGTTTTCTGAAGTTGAACATATTTTTCCTAAATCGTAACTCACAATCCAGCATTTTCATAATTATAAAGTCAGATCGTCCATACAGTCACTGTGGCCATTATTTCATCCAGCAGGATGTAATTTACATTTAATAACAACGTGGCTTAATGAAATGTAAGAGCCTAGGTCAGCAGCATCAGACTTGCTGGACAGCAAGCAATCAAGGGCCAGATGCAAGGCCACTTTCCTCCACCTGCATCGTTAAAATAAATACTGGGGAAAGGAGGTCAAAGTGGTCAAAGGCACGAGTCTCTGCAATGACAGGTGGATCTTGTCCACCTGACATCATCAGCTACTTTCTCCCTGCTCACCTGTTAAATATGAAAACACACACAACACACACACATGGTCATATTTCAACATCGATTCCACTCCTGCTATATCACTGCCTCCAAGAGGGGATAAAAGAATGGTCCTGTGCCAAGTGATGCTGCCTAGATTCTGATCAAATCCCCTTGCTTCCATGGCCATCTCTGCTGAAGTGAAGCATGCCTGAGGTATGTTCCCTGCACCATAACAGTGTACCCTCCCACCACCTTGGTTGCTGCCATCATCACTGTCACATACATAACAGTGTAGGAGATTGTCTCTCTTGTGGTTATAATGCGTCGGCTGTCTCATCTGGTGTCCTACCAAAGTTTTATAACTTCCTTCCTCTATCCTTGCATCACAAGAATTTTTTGGCATGAATCATAGCCACGCAGGAAAATATGGGGGCCGATGCCAAATGTTGTTGCTTTTGTTGATGAAGTGGTAGCTAAAAGTTCACGGTCACGGAAACAAAAGCAGCACTTGGTCCTTGTTGAAGAGAGGGGAGAGGGAAGACTCATGTAGGTCAGCAATGTTGGCGGCACTAAGCAACAACATGAGATATTTTATTCTTGACAAGTAATTTCAGTAGTATGGCTTCAGATGTCTTGCAACTGGGATGTTTTATTATTGTAGGAAATAAGAATATTTTAGCAGGCAGAAACAAAAAGCCTGTTGTGACAGCGGAACTGAAAAGTCAGATAATTTTAATTGACAGCAATCACAAGCAGTCCTCAACTTAATAGTAACATCAACTTCACTTGCAGGTGTAATAAAATACTACATATCACATTCCTCGTTGCTAACAAGGTCTGCCATTTTCCAAAAGGAAATAAGTTGTTTATTTGGAGTTATCTTTTTATCCCCTACAAAACGAAGTTGATTTTTAACTCGTGTTTATACATATAGGCTCCTGAATTACTTGTTGGAGTGCCTTAGCTGAGATCAGCCTTAACACACTTATTTAAAAAATATAATCATTAGGCAAAGGCAAGAGAAGGTTTGTTTGTATGCTTATTTTTGAAAATGTAGAAAGGCGCAATACTTTGTCTGATTGAGGCCTACCTTGTCTTCAACTCTGTTCAGCCGGGAACCAATTGTATTAGTCCCTCGGTCTTTGTTTTTTTCTGTATAGAAAGGAACATTTTTAGATGAATATCAGTGTTACAATAGTATAGAATGAAACCATGTGACTGCATTTAACTAGCCTACCAGAGCTACTTAATTGAACGCTGCTGACAGATGGATAATTTTATTACATTAAGAGCAGCTTTTTCATAGTATTGACCCAAGCCTTCCCTTTTAATGGCTTCGAGTACAGAGTGCTTTCTGCCTTCATACTATGCTTTAAATCACCAGAAAAATTAAAACTACATTCAATTTAGCAAATGTCAATTAAATTAAAGAATAATGTAGCTAAAAAAAAGTACTACAACAGGAGCTGGCAACAGCACAGACCCTGATATGTATTTGTATGCTTATAGGTGATCACAATGTACAACTTTGATTTGGTCCTCTGAATAATCCTTGATATTATGTGTCTCTCATTAAATATGAACAATGGTTACCAATTTGCTTACAATGGAAGCATACACATAGCCTGGCTTCAGTTATAGAAGGCAAGGAATAATGAACACAAGCCGTTTAGTGGATGGCTCCAGGAATGCCCTAGGTGCAGTTGTTACAACACTAATTCGCTGGCAAATATTCCCATGTGTGCTAAAATATATACACATAACCTTTATTTATTTAGAGACTAAAAAGACTGAAACAATTTCCCAATTCTCTTGCACATTTCATATTTGAAATTACCGTATTTTTCGCCCTATAGGACGCACTTTCCCCCCTCCAAAACGGAAGGGGAAATCTGGGTGCGTCCTATGGGGCGAATGCAGGCTTTCGCTGAAGCGCCGGGCGCTCTGCTTTCAGGGCGCCCGACGCTCCGGGAAGCAGGCTGCTATCCGCAGCCTAGGCAGTCCTGCGGGAGGTCCCGCAGGGCTGTCTAGGCTGCGGATAGCAGCCTGCTTCCCGGAGCGTCGGGCGCCCTGAAAGCAGAGCGCCCGGCGCTTCGGGAACACATCCGCAGCGTGGGGAGCCCTGCAGGAGTTCCCCGCAAGGCTCCCTACACTGCAGATAGCAGCCTGCCGCCCGGCGGGCGGGGCGCCCTCAAGCAGAGCGCCCCGCCCGCCGGACAGACATCCGCAGCGTGGGGAGCCCTGCAGGAGTTCCCCGCAGGGCTCCCCATGCTGCGGATAGCAGCCTGCCGCCCGGCGGGCGGGGCGCCCTCAAGCAGAGCGCCCCTCGCGCTGGGCATACATCCGCAGCGTGGGGAGCCCTCCCGCTGTTCCTCGACCTGGTTCGGTTTCCCCGACCTGCTTTTGGGGGGGAAATAAAGGAAAAAAATTTTCCTTTATTTCCCCCCCCAAAAAAACTAGGTGCGTCCTATGGGACGGAGCGTCCTATGGGACGAAAAATACGGTAGGTAGAAGTGTCTAGTGGGGCAACAGAATGGAGCCAGCACCTTGGAGGAAGCATCACTGCTGCTTATTAGGGCTGTGTTCAGTGGGGCAGGATGGCAACGAGGCTAAGGCAGTGTGGGCTCACTGGTGGAGCCAGCCGAAGCTCCTAGCAGTGCGTCCACACCACCCCAACCTTGCAGCTACCCTGCCCCACCCTGGGCCAACAGTGGCAAAAGCCAATGCTACAGCACTGCCCCATCCAGAGTCTGCCATGAGTGGATAGCACTGGATTGAAACACTGAAACCTGGAGTGTGGCGTGATAGGAGCAAGTTTATTTTCTCCCTCCTTTCAGCTAAGAATCAGGGCAATGTGAGGGATTTATCAGCCCATCAGCAGCATGGTGACATAGCCAAATCTAATTGGCTGTATGCTACTGGAAAGCCATCATGTTCACTGCATGATCCCTGATTAGCTGGGCTCAAGCAGCAAAGAAGAAGTCTTTAAGTAAAAAGAAAAACATCTAAGCAACAGCAGATCAAGTATACAACAGCTCTGAACAAGTCCCAAAACTGTGTGAAGGAGTGGATGATAGAGGTATATTTTATGTGCCTCTTCTTGTGAATCAAGAACCTAATGATTGAAGATTCTGCATAGCATTAATTATGTTCTAGATATTTTCTAGCCTAACAGTTTAATTGTATTGCAGCCTGCACAAAGTTGTTGGGTTTGCTGACTGTGCTGCCTGGTTTTCCAAGTAAGGTCAGGCATTTGACCTTTTTATTTTCAGTTCCTAACAAGCTATATATCAAACAAAACATTAAGTACTATGCATCTACCCTGTGCTCTGTATCGTATGGAAGAGTAGCAATATTTGACACACAGCATATATATGTTTCTAATGGAGACTTACCTGAGACAGAAATAAACAGTGATGGCTTCCCTATAGATTGGTCCAACCTGGTGAGAAAGAAAGTGTATCAATAAACAAGATAAAAATGTCTTCAGATTTAAACAGGGGAACTGAATAACAACAGTTGTTGCTTCTCTAGCCCCGCCCTATGAAGAAAGAAACGCTTGCATAGCTACTGGCTCACTTCTAACGGTCCTTTGAACATTCATCTGGGAATGTCAGAGAGACTGTCTGATCCAAATAGGTCTATGTCTGCAGTCTGCTAATGCTTTCTAAAAGTGCACTGGCAGGATTTCACCACTGAAGGAATTCAGCTTTTATTGAAAGAATTTGTGTGTGGAATTCAAAGGCTTAACTAAAAACAAGTCCACTGGCATTCATTGTTATAGATTGTTTATTCTTTTCCTGTTTGCTTTACACAATCCTACCCTTTTTTTTTAAAGCTCTGGTTTTTGTTCTGCCATATCCAAAGGCCCAGGAAAGGTAACAGCCAACATGTATTAATTAATGCAGGGTGTGTGTCCTTGTTCCTGAAGGCCTCACAACCACAGGCAGAAATGGCATAGTATGTAAATAGTCCAGGGTCCTGCCATGCACTCACATTTCCTAGCCCTGCTTCTATTGCAAAATTCTTCTTTCTTATTCCTGAGAGTGAAATTAGACAACGTAAGACAAATGCAAAGTTCCAATCCCATGTTTACCTCCTAATGCTTAATGTGGGGAACATGTATTGGGGGAACCAGCAGGAAGGAGGGAATTGCTTAGACCTTCCCTATATAATAAATTTCTGCCTGCAACCCTTTCCCTCAACCCCCTTTTCCTGCTTACTTCCCTCCTGAAGCCCAGCTGGGGAAAGAGGCCTGTGAGAAGGATTCATGCGGAAGATTGGATATGTGGAAGGATGCTTCTTCTTACCTGTATCATCATTAACTAGCAAATGAATGCTTCCTAGCCTAACATGTCCTTTCACCTTGACTGGCTAAGTAGCCCTTCAAAACAAAGTCATCTCCACATCATCCCTCATTTCTGTTTTCTCCCTGTCCATGTCCACCATCTCCTTGGCACACATCCTTGCACAGATGCTATGGCTGACATCTTTGATGCTTTACTTCATTCTGTTACCCAGATTGCTGATCCAGATCTGTAGGCCCATTAGAGCAGCTGACAATTTCTCTATTGCAGAGGGTGGGGAGATTGTGGTTCTTCAGATAATGATGGATTCCAACTCCTTTCGGCCATGACCACTGGTAGCAAAATGGAAAGGGGGCATCCCCCTCTGCCGCCGGCTGAACCCTTGCTTGCTGGAGTTGTGAGGAGGTGGCAGCTTTTGGGGAGATATTGTGAGACCTCGCCAGAAGCCACCACTTTTCCTCGCTCCTCTGGTGGTAGGGGCAGGGACAGGTGGGGTGCCCACAGGGGCACCACCCCTCAGGATTCCTCTGCCTGAGGCAGCTGCCTCAGTCTGGCTTATGGGTGGGCCAGCCCTACTGATGGGGAGTTGGAACTCAAGAACATCTGGAGGACCACAGGTTCTTCGCTGTTGGCTTGATTCTGCAGGATTCATCACGCAGCTATTATTTTCCAGAACTACTTATCTGTTTGGGCAGCTAAATTCTGTTCCATACCTTCTCTGAAGCTCTTTTATTCGCACCATTAAGTTGAGATGTCCCTGAGAGTATTGTTCTATAACGTCACGTACATCATATGGCTTTCTAGCTTGCTGTAAAAATATGAGAGAATTAAATACTTGTTAAAGCACGTAATGCATAGCAGGTCACGTATACTCGATTGACAACAGAAAGACTTGGAAGTTAACTTTTTTCTTTCTGTGCTGGCTCACCATGTCAACTTACAACAAAGCTTAAAAATAATCAAGCCTAAAGGAGAGAAAACTTCCAAAACAAATAAAACAGCAAAAGTGAAAAAAGAAATCAACTGCAGCATAAAAACACTGGAAAAGAAGATGGTGGCAAAATCAGACATTGATCAGGCCAAAGGCCTGCCAGATGAAGGGATTTCTTGTGGCAGGTAGTACAGCAATAACAAAGAAGGCCCTCTCATGCATTCCTGTCAACAGCACTGCAGGGGTGCACTTACCACAGTGACCATGGCCATGTAGAGTCAAGTCTGTTCCTTCTGGGATAGGTTTTTGGTTATTCTAATGCAGCCTTCCCCAACATGGTGCCCACAGATGTTCTGGAATACTAGTGCTGTGCTAGCTGGGGCTGACGGAATTGTAGTCCAAAACATCTGGACAGCAGCAGACTAGGGAAGGCTGTTCTAAAGTGTGATAAAATGGTGGGAGTTGGCATTCATACAGATTTGTACTGCCCACCTGGTATTCTGTGCTTTGCCATACTTTTCTGGTTGGGAAAGGTGGTTTTAAGAATGCTTTTAAAAACCCTTTCATAATTTTATAAATGTTTCAATAATTTTCCCCTTCTGCCTTTAAAACCAAGTGCTTTAGTAACCATAAATACAGTAGAAAAATTAAGGATGAAAAAATAATAATGTAAACCAATGCATATAAAACACCTCTTAAAATTACCAACACAGATTTATACACATGAAAATTCACTACCTTTAGGTCTCTTGCGCTACAAGCCAGTGGTATATGCAAGCGTTTGGTAAGCTAGGACTTGATCCACAGGGCTGATTTGTTTTAGCACTGATAGTATAGCACACTGAACAAAATTGAATATTTAGTGCTATGGTGAGCTAACAGTCCAATCCTCTTGCAGCAGCTACAAGTAGGAGAGGTCCCATACGGTGGAGCAGAGCCCTGTTTGCTCCCTACACCATGTGTGTACCAGGCTGTTAGGGAATGGGAGACCAGCGTATGACTCCAGTCTTCCTGTCCAAGTCCCTTTGTTCTGCTTAGTCAAGGAACACAAGCTTCAAGGAGAAGCATTTTCCAAGTAGGAAAAACACAATGATGATGTGGCTCCCACACAGATATGTCATGTATAAACATCAGGGATGAAGCTTCCTAGGATATCTAATCACATGCAATACGTATTACTAGTAAAACCAAATATAGTCTATAGGTTTTGGAAACGGTCATTTATTCAGACACGAGTTAAGTAGTTTTTAGTCCCACTTAGATCAGGGACTTAGGCAAGTGCTTAACTCTCTTGCTTAAATCAATGGGACTTAAAAGCACTTCAGCTGGCTGGAATGTGCCCCCTGGGGAAAGCTGCGCACGTCTCAAAACCCCCCTGCATGTCACAAGGTGACCCAGTAAGCATCATTGCCCAAGTGGGGATCCGGATTTGGGCCTCCCCAGTCCTAGTCCGGCATTCAACACACTTTACAACATTTTGGTTCCGGCTGATGGTTTTGTGAATTGTGTAAAGTGGCATGTGGCAAGGACAGTTTTGGCGGATTCAAACAGCCATTTTAATGAGGAAAGCTTACAAGCTGAGATGGCTGCCCCTGCCGCCACACTTATTTAAGTTGTCTTTTTTGTATGTTAACATGGCCAAAGGATTTTTTTGGGGGGGGGCGGAAACCTTGCAAGTGCATTTCAAACAACAGAATTCACTGCCTTCGTCTTGGCCAGTCACCATTAGGGATTGTGTAAGTGCGCACAGACATTGCTTTGCAGTCCCCAGCCCTTAATATTGATGGCAACAAACTTCCTGCACTGTGTTTCCCATTACCTCTTCTTTGCTTTATTCCCCCCTTCCCCTTTTCCAATTAGGAACACTGCTGATGGTAATAATTACATTAAATGAGTTAGAATTTTCTGCATAATGTGCAGGAGAAGTGTTTGCAGAAGGCACAGCAGAGAATGGCATGCATTAAATATGTGCACAGCTGCTGCTTACTGCTCCTACTATGTGGTTGTGTGCGCAGCAGCTGCATGGCATGGTGTTTCCCTCAGAGCCAGAATGGGAAAGAAAAGAGGGAAGTTCAAGCTGCAGGAAATTCTGAGGAGTGTAACCAAACAATGGCCAAGTACAAGCGTGTGCAACATTCTTTGAAGTACAAAGAACTTTGAACTATCTTGTTTGCCAGAAAGCCCTCTGAAGTGATTACAGAAAATTACATACACAATTCCTGATTGATAGTAAGGTAACTGAATTACGTATAAAGTACAGCACAGTTTGCGGTAACACTTTGAAATATAAAGCTATAAATACATCAAGAGCGTCTGGTGACATCATTGTAAAAGCCACAACAGACATGTCAGTTACCCCTGGCATCAATGGAACTCCAAAATAAACTTTGTTCACCACGTACAGCAGCTTTTCGTACTCATTTTCAGTATGAAGTACATGGGTACAAGACAACCTTTTAATGGAATACCTATCCTGCTAATGAATGCATTATCTTTTAAAAAAAACACTTCTAAAATCTTGATAACAGAATTTGGATACTACTACAACAACTACTACTACCGGTGGGGAGGACCAGACCACACAGAAGCAGCTATAAAAGCAGCTTGCTGATGACTTTTTTCATAAACTTTTTGGAGTTTAGGGTGACCAGTGGTGGTGTGGCCAGAGGCAGCTCATCCTGCTTCACTGCTTGAGGTGAAATGGGAATGTGTCGCCCCCCCCACTCTGCTGCTATCCCACTCCCTCGCCGCTGCCCTGGCGCCAGCACCTCTCTTACCTGCACTGCGTGGCACCGCCCGCAAAGCGCCAGCAGAGGCACTGACTTCTGGTGAGATCTTGCATGATCTCGCTGAAGTCTTGTGAGATTTCAGTGACATCTCACCAGAAACCAGTACCGCTTCTCCACTAGTGGTGGAGGCAGTGGGGCAGGTGGTGGAGGCAAAAGTCCGCCCCTTGGACTTTTGCCGCTCCAAGTGGGCACTTGACCCTGCCTCATCGTTGGGCCAGGCCTGGGTGTGGTACTAAAGTGCCCCCCGTCCCAGGCAACCCATACTTCTGATTGTCACCAATGTGACCTACAAGAAAGTGGATTTTTCCAGCTTCAGCCTCACCACAGCAGTCATCTCCGCTTGCTTTATTTCTCAAACCAACTTTCAAGACTATGTGGATGGAAAGAAGATCTAACTGAAAGTATGCGGGAAACGTCTCAGAAGCCAGACAAGTGATAGAATAAGATTTCCACTGGCTGGGGGTGAGGCACCAGTGTTCTGTATAGTTCCATGCCTGTCTCTCCACCTGAATGGCAAAATCAGAAGAAACTACGCAAATTTTAAAAGAAAAGTAAGTATGGAGTGTAAGAGAAAAAACATGCAAAGGAGAAATCACAGAAACCAGCTTTTCTTAAAATAGAAGTTAGATGGCCTGAATGTAATAATAATAATAATAATAATAATAATAATAATAATAATAATAATAATAATAATATCTTTATTGTCATTGCCCCCTCTCGGGGACAACGAAATTACTTGGCTGCTCCATCCGCCCAGGTAGGGCACTCCACACAAAATCAAAACAACTATAAAAACACTAATTAAAACAATACAGTATAATACAGCAAGGAAGATTAGATGACTAATGTGTCGACCTCTGTGTCTGAGCATAAGTGTTTAATGAAGGCTTGAACAGAATTATATAGAACTTGCAGGAGGTTACTAGTTATATTCCCAACAAGTTTTCAAGGAACTCAATAACCCTTCCATGAACTGAGCTGTTTTGACTTCCACATATGAATAGTGTGCGAGAAGTGCACAGAACAGAGCAACTTGCTCCCGAAGAACAAACACCTAAAAGCTTATGTGTTCATGGGAACACAGCCTATTGAGATGCCAGATTGCCAATAACTAAAATAGGAACTGGAAATCAAACCATCAGGACGTTGTAAACATACAGCTAGCTGGTCCTCTCAGAGCAGGCTTTCCCAGGAGTATGTGTGAGAAAGGTGGCAGAAACCTTCCAGCACGCCTGCAAATTTCTATCCCAGCTTCTTATCAGGACCGCAGCAAGTATGAGATAGAAACAAGGTTAAGGTAGTATGCTAATCTCTAGGCCCACTGAGTCAGCCTGACAATAATATACAGCTCAGAATTAATGAAGACATATGAGAATGTTTGCATTGCAAGGAAAAAGAGATAACAGAAGGTGAAAGGTCAAGTCCATTAGCAGAAAATAACATTTTAATTCATGGTACATTTCAGGGGCTTAGCCTGTTCCCAGTGCATCCACAGTTGACTAACCTGCTGCTAAACAACCACCCTATTCAAGAAGGGAGAGAATAGTGGGTGTAACTCACCATCACTAAAATGAATTGCCTTGGTCTTTTCTTTCTTAAGCCCACAAAAGGAACAATAATAAGCCCAGGAGAATAAAAGAGTTTATTTAGATAAAGCAGCTCACTATTCATCACCTCACCTGAAATTTCTTCTTTGCCACAAAATATTGCATCCGGCGTATCACCTTAATGGCAGAACGGTGATGTTCTCGCAAGCTGTGTGGGAAAAATGAGAAGGGCGAGTTAGACGGAAAAGAGCATCTCTGCCCACATAATAATGATAATGATCCCCAGTAAGTGCTTTGGTAACAAGCGAATGTTTATAAAAGGGGCAACAATCCTTCCTGAGGACACAACGTGCTACTATTATTGTGACAAAGGACCAAGCTACTAAAATCCAAAGTGTTTATCTCTACGATTTATACTAAACTTAATGTCTTTCACGGTATTAAGTAGTGAGGAGAGTATGAAATCTACCCCTGTGTCAAATGAATCCATCCAGTTAGCTTTCCCACCCTTTCCCCCTCAAAAGTAACAGCTATTCATGTTGAAAAGGTAGAGGTTTCAGATTACTGTGCTTGCTGATGCACACAATTCAAGAAAACAAGCACCCTCACATTTTATTTGAAACCCCCCCCCACCTGGCCCGATAAAGTAGGAAAGGGTGGGTGGGTGCAGCAGCCCTTTATAAAAAGGTTTCCTTCCCACCCTCTTTTTCAAAATTATATAGATATATGCTAGAAAACGGAGGTTAAAATATTTGTTTGTTTATTTTTGCATTCGACCTTTCCTTCAAGGTTCTCCTTATAATATTCAAAGCAACCCTGTGAGATAGGTTAGGCTGAAAGTTGGGCCATCCCCAAGCAGGGATCTGAACTCTTGTCCCCTTGGGTCCTAGTCTGGCATACTGATTGCTGCACCACAGTAACTCTCTATTTGTTTTAGAAGCACAAATACACGCAGCAACAAGGAGTCAAAAAGAATACTTGGAAATAAGTATTTATAGTACAGAGACGTAAAGGGTTAAGAGTGCTACAAAGACCTCTGTTCAATTAGTAGGAGAACTAATCTAGAGTATGTGGTTCAAGAGTTGCATTCATTTTGTGGTGCACACCCACTCACCCCAGCCACCAAGTGAAATGTTTATTACATAATATGAATCATCTTTTTTTAAAAAAACAAAAAACCAGACAAACCAGAAACCCACCACCATTGCATATCATATTCATTTTAACAGAAGGGAACTGTCTTTGTTCAGCACCCCAGTATGAATTTTGCTGGATGCGTGCCAAGCAAGACTGTTCTTTTCATTCAAGTCAATAATTAATAGCTTCACTAAAGTCAATTTAATGCTGGTGAAAGACAAGAGTGAGGCGACGGTGTTCTGCCCACCAAACAGACACAGTCATGGCAGCGGCAGCAGCACCACAATTGCTCTCGGCAGTAGAGCTTGTGAGGAAAGCACAATCCCTTTTAGTGTCTGGCAGTATCGGCAGAAGAAATGCCCCACTTGGTCCCCTTGGTCCAAGATGTTGAAGCTACTATTCTGATAACATCAGTTCATAACTGTAATAGTTAAAGAATTCAGTCACTTCAGCTATTAGGCCATCCTTTTGTGGAAGCTTCATTGACTAATAGGTTAGGAAGGAAGACAACAAAATGGGAAAATAGGACAGAATCTGTGACTTTGTATCTGGAACGATACTGTCCTATTTTCCCATTTTGATATTCGCACACTTGCTTTACACACACCTTGGACACTTATGTGAGTAACAAGTATATCCAAAGTTAATGATTCTTCCTGTTAGACAGAGATAGACAAAATATCTACTGGTAGGTGACACTGTTTCACAACAGCAATGACAAAATAACTCACCTACTCTGCCACACCATTCATTATGCTACTGAAATTATGAAAGCGGCAGGTGGGGAGGGTAACCTAGAGTTGATTTTTGTGTGTGAAAGGACTCAAGGCCAGATTCAAAAAAGTATGTGCACTAGCGGGAGCCAGCACAATGAGTACCTCTAGTGCAGTGTTTCCCAACCACTGTTCCAGATGTTGCCTGGTGTGCCGCGGGAAAAACTAAAAAATTGAAAGATTTTTTTTTTTAAAGTCAAATTTTCGATTGGGGCGCCGTCACTAGATGACCCCTGGGGTTCCCTCCCTCCCTCCCGCTCTGCGCCTCCCTCCTCCTCCTCCTCCTCCTCCTCCGGGGAGGCCCTTCCTGGCTCTCGGCCAAGGCTTGGCGGCTGCCACTCACTCACTCGCTCGCCCACCCGTCCCTCCATCCCTGCACCCGGCCTCTCCCCCTCCGTCCCCGGCGCGGGGGCTGCCGGGATCCGTAGTCCCCTCACCCTTTGGCTCCGCGCCCGCGCGGGGTGCGCGAACTACGTTTCCCAGCGTGGCCTGGCGGGCCGGGCGTTTTGTTTGAAGCGCTCTTCTCCCGGCCATGGAATGAGCGCAGCGACGGCGGCCGGGCGGGCAGGGGCTCTTCCGCGCAGACCCCGCGCAGCCTGCCTGCGCCCCCCGGAGATCGGGCGGCAGGATGGAGCCCGGGGATCCCCGCGGAGGCGGAGCGGCAGAGGCGGAGGCTGCCCCCCAGGTAGGGCTGCGTCGGGGTTTTTTTATTTTTGCAATGCTGCATCCGCGCCGGAGGGGACGCATCGGACCGCGGGGAGACCCCTTGGCGTGCGTGCAAGGCAATGCATGCGTGCAGGCGTTGCATGGAGTGCAGTGCAATGCAATGGCAACGCAGCGCCCTGCATGCATGCATGCAACTTCCACCGGCGCACCGGACTTGACAGGTGAGGGGGGTCCCCAGTGGGCGGCAGAGAGAGCCGGGAGGGCGAAGGGGAGCTGGGGGGGGGAGCAGCGCTGCTCCCCGAGCCGAGCCCGGGGGGAAACTTCGGCGTCGTTGCGCCGGGTGTTGGAAGCGGAGGCTGGCGGGGGCCCCTCACCTGCAAAACCTGGTCGCCTCTCATATATTTCGTGCATTGCATTCATCGCCCGCTTTCTCCTCCAAGGAGCTCCCGGCGTCGACGCATGCAACTTCCACCGGCACACCGGACTTGGCAGGTGAGGGGGGTCCCCAGTGGGCGGCAGAGAGAGCCGGGAGGGCGAAGGGGAGCCGGGGGGGAGCAGCGCTGCTCCCCGAGCCGAGCCCGGGGGGAAACTTCGGCGTCGTTGCGCCGGGTGTTGGAAGCGGAGGCTGGCGGGGGCCCCTCACCTGCAAAACCTGGTCGCCTCTCATATATTTCGTGCATTGCATTCATCGCCCGCTTTCTCCTCCAAGGAGCTCCCGGGGGCGCGCGTGGTTCTCCCCGTGTTATCCTCGCAACAACAGCCCTGCGAGGTGGGTCAGGCGAGTGGCCCAAGGGAGCACCCAGGGATTGTCCTGGCCAGGTGGGGTGATTTGAACCCTGCACTCTGCCCGGTCTTCGTCCTCATTTAGCCCCCACATGTGCATGACTGTGCATGACTGAGGTTTTCCCCCCTCGTCTTGGCTATGGTGTGAGTCTGTGCTGTTAATTAATGGGGTTCTGCCTTCGGAGAAGATGAGCCAGCCCTCAAGGAGGTGATTATGTAATTTGCTAGCAATTCATGTCCCTCCCGGCGTGATGCTGCGCGCTGACGTCACGGGGCTGTAATGGTGGTGCGCCTCGAGATTTTTTTCATGAAACAAGTGTGCCTTTGCCCAAAAAAGGTTGGGAAACACTGCTCTAGTGCAACTGGACCCACCCATCTCCTCCTCCTAAAGCAGCTTGGGATGGTGGTGATGGTCTGGAAAAACCCCTAAACAGTGCATGGGGGGGGGGGGAGAGAGGAGATCATTCCATCAGGCAAAGATAGATGTTTGTGATGATGGAACAACTGGAAGAGCACAATGACGACACCAAAGTGGGAGGGGCAGCTAATGCTGCAGAAGACAGAATCAGAATTCAAAATGACCTTAACAGAGAACTGAGCGAAAGCTAATGAATTTCAATGGGGACAAACGTAAGGTTTACACTTAGGCAGGAAGAACCAGATGCACAAATATAAGATGGGGGACACCTGGCTTACTAGCAGTACATGTGAAATGGAGCTAGGGGTCTTGGTGGACCACAAGCTTAACATGGGTCAACAGTGTGATGCAGCAGCAAAAAAGAAGGCAATGCTATTCTAGGCTGCATCAACAGAAGTATGGTGTCCAGATCAAGGGAAGTAATAGTACCACTCTATTCTACCAGGCCACACCTGGAATACTGTGTTGAATTTTGGGCACCACAATTTAAGAAGGATGTTGACAAGCTGGAACGTATGCAGAGGAGGGCAACCAAGATGATCAAGGGTCTGGAAACTAAGCCTTACCAGGAGCAATTGAAAGAGTTGGACACGTTTAGCTTGGAAAAGAGGAGACTGAGAAGAGATATGATAGACATCTTCAAATATCTAAAGGGCTGTCACATGGAAGAGGGAACATGCTTGTGTTTTTTCCTGCTCTGGAAGGTAGGACTCGAACCAATGGCTTCAGGTTACAAGAAAGGCGATTACACCTAAACATTCGAAAAACATTTGATAGCAAGAGCTGTTTGGCAGTGGAACAATCTCCCTCGGGAGGTTGGGGACTCTCCTTCCTTGGAGGTTTTTATTAAGCAGAGGTTGGATGGCCATCCGTCGAGGATGCTTTAGCTCAGATTCCTGCATTGCAGGGGGCTGGACTAGATGACCCTTGGGGTCCTTTCCAACTCCAAGATTCTCTGATTTCAAGTGGGGAATAAAACTGCTATCATAATATAAACCGTTATAATAACATGCAGCGAATTGCATATTAAAATACAAAAAAAGAACAAATCTTCCAAACAATGTAAGACAGCCAAGTCACAATATCAGGGGACTTCTTTTTAAAAAAAGCCTTCCCATACTAAAGGATTACAGAGAGTATTTCCAACACACCTGCCCCCCACCCTACACATTAACGAGCCAGAAACCTTTATAGACAAAAGATACACAACAAAAGCTTGCTCCAACTGTTCAAGGAGCAAATTAAAAATCAGTATAAAGAATTTTCCCTCCCCCACAAGAAAACTTTTTTCTTTGTTTGTTTAAATTGCTATCAGTTTCCACACAATTTCAAAGAAAGCACAACTGTTTAGGAAGATAAGAGCAACAGGTGGGTTTTGCAGTAGAACTGCAGAAGATCTGCACAACTGATTCATGCAGCCTCCCTTCCCGA